TTAATAATAATATATGCAACAGGCATAACAAATTTGGACAGTAAACCCTTGCTTTCTTTAAATTTTTTTTAAACTTCTTGTTGTTTCTATGCGATACTGCCTACTTAATACTTTTAATATCATGTCAACATGAGCACATAAACATTTCTGTTTTTTATTTTATTTTTTTTGAATAGCAATTAACTAATAGTATTAATTACTAGTTATGCCAACAAATAATGAAAGCAATTAGATTAGATGAACAATAATAAAATTGCTTAATAAACTGAAAAATTCCCGAGTGAACAGTAACCCTCGGTGAACAATAACAATTTTTTTAATTTTTTTTTAATTTTCCAGTTGTCATATATTATTCTACGGATTATAGTAATTACCTCTAGATCAAAGATCTAGGGACGATCGATACTAAAGATCCGTAGAACGCTGCCTCCTTGCGATGATCCGTCGAACGCTCCCGCTGCAACGAACCAGATCTCAATGCGCAAAAGAGGAAGGAAATATTTTTTTTATGGCTCAGGGATTCAAGAACACTTCGTGCTTGATAATTTTCCAAATTGTATTTTAATTTTATGATTTTTGTTATCTTTGGACTGTATAATCGGACTTTGGACACTTTTTATTTTTTTGGTGACGGGCTGATCCACGCAACATGTTTATTGCATGAATTTTTAATTCCTTATTTTTCACATGCATAGATAAAATGGCTAAAATAACGAGCGTTGATTTCGAAGTCCTAGACGCTGCTGGCAAGAATTATTTGAGTTGGCATGTGGACCTGAAGTTCCACTTATGTGCCCAGGGCTTATTAGCCACAATTTCAACTCCTGCTCCACCGGCTCCGGCCACTGTTACGGGTAATGCTGTAAATAATGCTGAAGTTGCTACTACAGTGATTGTCTCTGATATAGATAAGGCGAAATCCATTTTCTACATCAGGAGACATATTGATCGGACCCTGAAGGCCGAATACCTGACTGTAGAGGACCCAAAGGAATTGTGGACTGCACTTGAGGACCGATACAAACATCAGAAAGATGTGATCCTCCCACGTGCACGTTATGAGTGGGAAAACCTCCGACTTCAGGACTTTAAGTCCGTAGCTGACTACAACTCAGCACTTCATAATATCACCTCACGCCTGAAGTTGTGTGGTGAAGAAGTTTCGGAGGAACGCATGTTGGAGAAGACTTACACATCCTTCCACGAGAAGGATGCAATCCTCATGCAACAGGTTCAAAAAAATATTCTGAATTGCACTCCACCCTTCTGATGGCGGAGCAAAACAGAGAATTGCTTTTGGCCACTCCCTGAAGGCCGAATACCTGACTGTAGAGGACCCAAAGGAATTGTGGACTGCACTTGAGGACCGATACACACATCAGAAAGATGTGATCCTCCCACGTGCACGTTATGAGTGGGAAAACCTCCGACTTCAGAACTTTAAGTCCGTAGCTGAGTACAACTCAGCACTTCATAATATCACCTCACGCCTGAAGTTATGTGGTGAAGAAGTTTCGGAGGAACGCATGTTGGAGAAGACTTACACATCCTTCCACGAGAAGGATGCAATCCTCATGCAACAGTACCGCGAACAAAAGTTCAAAAAGTATTCTGAATTGCACTACACCCTTCTGATGGCGGAGCAAAACAAAGAATTGCTTTTGGCCACTCATAACCTATGCCCTGCAGGCTCAGCTCCTCTACCCGAAGCTCACATGTTTATTTCCCAGAAGCAGAAGAAAAAGCATAAGGGTAAATTCAACAAGGGGAAAGCCCCTAAGTGGTAGCCCAGATGTCCACCCCAGAAAAACAACCCTCCCCAGAGCAGCAATAGTGAGGGAAAGAAGAAGTGGAAGAAGAAGACCACTGAGCTGTCGTCCATTCCCAAGAACACTTTGGAGGACAAATGCCACAAATGTGGCATGACTGGACATTGGTCCAGAAACTGTCGCACTCCGCGACACCTCCAAGATCTGTATCAAGCGAGGCTGAAGTCTCCTGTTAAAACAAATCTGGTGGAAAAGCAGCCGTCTACTCAGTTCACTGCTGATGACTTCGAAACGGATGATCTTCTCGACTAGATCCATGTTATCTTTATATGCATTTAAATTCTCATAGTACTTTCATCTTTAGTTCTTTACTTTCCATGTAATGCAATTTATTTTTTAATAAAGATAGTTATTTTCTTTAGATTAAAATATTGCATTCATGTTATAGACGAAGTGTGAGTGCCTTGTGGACAGTGCCTCGACGCACACAATCCTTCGCGAAAGAAGCTGTTTCAATAGCTTATATGATTATGACGATCCTGTAATTACGATTTCAGGACTATCTAATATAATAGAAGGATTTCAATAGCTTATATGATTATGACGATCCTGTAATTACGATTTCAGGACTATCTAATATAATAGAAGGATTTGGTGAAGCAATGATATTGCTCCCAAATAAAACGAGACTAATAATAAACGATGCATTATTCTCTCCGAAATCTAATAGAAACCTCATAAGTTTCAAGGATATTCGTTTAAATGGATATCACTTAGAAACCAATGAAATAAATGAGGATGAGTATTTGTATGTAACTCGTCAAAAAGATGGTTCAAAAACTATCTTAGAACGATTCAAGGGACTCCCGTCGGGTCTCTATCATACATATATTCAACCAGTAGAAGCTAACATGATTGTGCACCAGAAGTGCCATTCTTTGCCGAAATTTAAACTTTGGCATAACAGACTGGGTCACCCAGGATCAGCAATGATGCACCGCATCATGAGCCAATCAAGTGGACACAACCTGAAGAACCTGAAGATTCTTCAGAAGAGTGATTACTCATGTCTATCTTGTTTTCAAGGTAAACTGATCACGAGACCTTCCCTTCTGAAAGTGGGATTAGAGTCTCCTAGCTTCTTGGAGAGAATACATGGAGATATTTGTGGGCCTATTCACCCCGCAAGTGGACCATTTAGATACTTTATGGTACTTATAGATGCATCAACCAAGTGGTCTTACGTGTGCCTTTTGTCCACCCGCAACTTAGTTTTTTCAAAGCTATTGGCACAAATTATTAAGTTGCGGGCTCATTTCCTCGATAATCACATCAAGAAATTACGTCTTGATAATGCGGGAGAATTCACTTCACAAGTCTTTCAAGACTATTGCCTAGCAACTGGCATCGAAGTTGAACATCCTGTAGCACATGTTCACACCCAGAACGGGTTAGCAGAATCTCTAATTAAGAGATTGCAATGGATTGCTCGTCCATTGTTGATGCAATCACAGTTGCCTGTTGAGGCTTGGGGTCATGCAATATTGCATGCAGCATCACTTATCAGAATACGGCCCTCTGGTGGCCATATTTTGTCACCAATGCAGCTTGCTTATGGTGCACCTCCGAATATCTCACATTTGAGAGTGTTTGGTTGTGCAGTTTACGTCCCAATTGCTCATCCACAAAGGACAAAAATGGGTCCACAGCGTCGTTTGGGTATCTATATAGGGTTTGATTCGCCCTCTATAATAAGATACCTTGAACCCCAGACGGGTGACGCATTTAAGGCACGTCTTGATGATTGTGAATTTGTTGAGGATTCATTTCCTAAACTTGGCACACAGTCCAGGAAGCCTGACGCTTCTAAGACCATTTCTTGGAACACCAAGACTTTGTCTCATTATGATCCGCGTACTAGTCAATGTGAAGATGAGATCCTGAAGATTCTTCATCTTCAGAATACAGTACATTTACTTCCGGATAAATTCACTGATAACCAGAAGATTGTCAGATCACACGTCCCTGCTGTCAACACGCCAGCTAGGATTGACATCCCCAAAGATGGATGCAATCCGCCGGCAGCAGAAACGGCTGTACCTCAATTGAAAAGAGGACGCCCACCAGGTTCGAAGGACAAAGTCCCTCGTAAAAGAAAAAATCCTGGAGAAATAAAGATGAACCCAACACAGGATACTGAGCTCAGACCAGCTTCCTCTCCCCTCCTAGATTCCCCTGAAGAGGAACAAATAGGAGAAACATCATTAAATTTTGTACGTACTGAGGAGGGACTGGACAGAAAAAGCACAGTCGTCGACGACGACTTTGCGTTCGATATTGCCGTTCACGTCACTGAATACGGCGATGACATCGAACCACAGCCTCTAGCGGAATGTAAACGCAGAGACGATTGGCCAAAGTGGAACGAGGCAATAGGAGTAGAGCTGGACTCCGAGACAGACTTTGCTGTCTCGCCGTGCGAGACAGACTTTGCTGTCTCGCCGTGAGAGACAGACTTTGCTGTCTCGCACGCAAGGCAATTTTCAAACATTCAGAAACCATTTCATAAACCGCCGACACGTGGCCACCAACTGCTCAAGAACGTGGGAAACGTCGTGGGCGAGAATCACGTGGATAACTGCCAAAATAACGGAGTTTGAAACGTGGGAAGGTAGTTAAAACGAAAACTGCCTGACGGTTACTGTTTCCGAGACAGCATTTACTGTCTCGCGGGCCGAGACAGCAAACACTGTCTCGCCCGTCGAGACAGCAAACACTGTCTCGACGGCCGAGACAGCAAATGCTGTCTCGCGAGACTGTTTTCCGCCAACTGTTCATAGGGGCTATAAATACCCCCCGAAGGCCATTTTTTGAGGGGGCGGATCATTTTTGAGCACTTCAGAGCAATCTAGAGCAGAGAGAGAGCAAAGTTCTTGAGCTTCTGGTGACTCCTTGCTATTCAGGCTTTGACTTGATTTCAAGAAGAACGACTATCTTACCTTGATAAGATATCGTTTTAAGTTCTCTAGCAGATAGACCTCGGGACGTCTATTCTGTTAGGCTTCAAAGATCATTATATGGTCTTAAGCAATCGGAATCTTTTTCTACCAGTCAGGTTTTTCTACAGAATCCCACGGAAAGGGCAAACTATAAAGAAATCATCTTGAAATATAATAGTGTCAAACGCACAACCATAAATTTATTGATTATTCAAAGTTAGCCCCTCTCTAATTATTCAAAGTTTCCAACATTCTGCATACACACAATCACACAATCTCTCTCTCCTCTCCACAAATCATCCAACCGCCACCCAAAGTCGCATCCCAAACTCCAAAATTTCAAACACCTCAAACACTCGATCCTCTCACAGACCAAACACAAGAGCTCCCACTCACCACCGCCCAACCCAGCCCCAATGGCCACCTGTTCCGGCTGGCCAGATTCTCTCCTGCATGGACCGGCATCGGCATCCCTTCGCGCTGTCTCGGTCAGGCCCTGGTGGCATCGGGCCGCCGCCGCATCAGCGCAGGCGCAATCGGCTGTCGGTGCTTCCGCTGCTGGAGCCGTCACCTTTTCGGCGTTTTGCTCGTTGGGTTGCCTCGGTGTTCGAGGAGTCTTTCGGCTTATCCTTACGCCTTGCTTGGCGCCGGCGGCCCCCGTCGCTGGTGCTGGCGGTGATGATGCTTTTGTATCGTTCACTTGAGCGACCCCAGGTGGAACGATCACCGAGCTCACCTGCAGTGGCAGATCCAGAAAAACTTTCTTAGAACAAATGACAGCCATATATTTATTCAAAAATAAAAATATAATTAATATTATTGGGCTACACGTTTCTTTATTGATTATATAAAGAAGGTTGGGATGCAAGGGGTAAATTGTAAGTTTAGTAAATTTTAAAATATAAATTTTCCATATTCCTAAGTGCGCAGCCACCACCCCTAATATTTATATGTGCACCTGCGTCTGCTCACCTGAAGTACCGATATATTGTAGGGCTTGTTCATAATTGATTTCACCAGATTGGAATTGATTGGCGATCCAGGCATTGCCGATCCGAAGGCGATCTTGCCGTCACCCCCCTTGGTCATGTTGAGGAAACCCTGACGCTGGTCGGCGGTTCCGGTTGTTTGGTAGAGGGTGGTGAGGCTGGTGGACTTCTTGTTTATGGTTTTGAGCTTGGTCATGTCGAAGTAGTCGAGGATGACATGAACAGAAAGAATGCGCTCGAGCTCGTCAACCGGAAGGCCGGAGACAGATGCGAGGCCGGAGGAGTCGACGGCAAGGACGGTGAGGGTGACGCGCTTGTTGATTTTGTCGGCGAGCTTGGTTTGTGATAGGAGAGAGTTGAAGTTGGCGAAATCGGGGTATTGATCGAGGATCGCGGTGATGTTGAAGGCGGAGGAGAGAGAGGAGAGAAGTAGGAAAGGGAGGAGGAAGAGGAGAGGAGAGGGGTTTGACGCCATACTTGGCTAGAGTTTGATGTCGTGTGATTGTGGTTGGGGGTCCTAATTAGACACAGTTAAGGACGAGTTGGATAGAAGAGAGGAGGAGGGGATTATATAAGTTTGGGATTTGTTGAGTTTGAACGGTTCTCCCGCCAAATTAGGGGTAGTGTGGGTTGAAGACCGATCGTTTTTTTTTTTCCTTTTGGTGGTAATTAGTGGCGGAGAATTTGTTTGACCATTTCTAATTTAAGGGAGCGTAAGAAAAACAAAATATTCATATTTTTAGACAAAATAAATATAATTTTTTAGCATTTATTTCAAAATAATAATAATAATAATAATAATAATAATAATAATGTTTAGGAAAATACTACTTTTGGCTACATTGTCAGAGGTGGAGAATCCATTAACCAGGCCTTGACCATAATTAGCAAAATGGAATTACCATAAACCAAGACAGAAAATTTTGGATGAGAAAATATTAGTGCTAATGTGAATCAAGAAAAGAAAAAGTTTTGTGAAAGAAAATAACGGAAAGAGAGTAGTAACATACGAATTGCTTTCAAAAGATTTAGTTGTGTACGGAGAATATGAAGAAGATTATGCACTAACACTACTAGAAATTGAGAGATGGTTGTAGCTTGTCTGATATACTTTTGGGCAAGCAGTACTACTAGACGGAAACAGCGCTCTTTGGCTGTTGGTCTAAAATTCAAGAGGAATTATGGTCTGATGAGCATCTAATTGTTCAAACCTTAAGCTATTTATTTATCCGACATGCACACATGCGCTACTAAAAACAGACATAGAAAATGTCATTTTTAAGGAGTCTGTCATACTTAATCGAAAATAATGTTTGTATTAAAAGATGTAAATCGGGCAAAGAACGCGACGGAAATCAACATTTTGAGTAAATCATGTTCTTACTCGTTTAAACATAAAAAATGCCTAAAAATAGCCCAACAAGCAACTTCCATTTAAGCATAAAAAATGCCTAAAATAACCCAACTGGAAGTTGATGGGCCTACGAGAAACCCAATGGAAGATAATTGGCCATAAATTCTTATTCGTTTAAGGGAATATATAAGTCCCTGTTCAGGTTAGGATCAATCATCTGGTCTTGTTTGAAGCTTCCGATAAATGTTCTGGCATTCGTCGACCGCAATCCATCTTCCTCCTTGTAAATCTATCTTCCTCCTTATAATTTGATATATGAATTAGCAAAAGAAGTGATAAAATATAAAATTATAATTCTCAATCTTTCCCATAATTTTAGAGCTTTGGTGTGATGGTTAGGAAATTTAACATGGTATCAAAGTAACTATGGTTCAAATTTCACTGCCGACGAATTTAAAGCAGACTTTCTAAAAATTGACACCGCTATGTGATTCCAAGTCTCTAACCACAACTTCACCGATAATCCATGGCTCATGATGCTATTTTCACTGTGAGATATGAACAAATGATAGTTGTATTAAGAGTGTCTCTCGTTTTGACTACACTTGCTAGAGGAATCTTTGTGTAAACATCATCCTGTTGACTTTAGTTGGTTGAAAATATGATAAAGGCTTTGCCATGATATTTGGGTCTGACTGCCCAATTTTAGTTATGTTGGGAGGAGCCCACACGCCCACTCTGACGTGGAAACGATATTATCTGAGAGAGATCCCTGACTTTTGTTGTCACAAAAGCTCATGTCAACCTCTATATTCATGTTTCATTAAGAAAACAAGAACAAAAGTGAAATATCCCAACAAAGTGAGATATACACTCTTCCTCTTATCAGTGTTAGGACTGAATATCGAGGGAATCAACAAGCAATAGCCAACATACAGAAACAGTAAAGACACGAGATTTACGTGGTTCAACAAAATTACCTACGTCCACAGGAGGGGGAAAAGGGGATTTTACTATGAGGAGAATACCAACTTGTACAACCCACAAGCTCTCTCTTTTTTTTCTCTCCTCAAAATCTCTCAATTCCTCTCTTCTCACATCCTCTAAATCTCTCTTCTTCTTCTCTCTATTTATAGAAAAAATAGAGACATGCTCTATGTTTCGGGGATGGCCCCCCTCAATGTTTTGGGACTCCATGTTTCGGGGGTTCACAATTCTTCAACTCGTACATTATTTGATAAACCTTCAATTTTGGACGAACACCAGAAAAACACCACGAACATCACCAGAGAGATCTGAAACACCAAACCAGACCAAAAACAGCTGCACCACTATACCATGGTTGCCTACGTACCCTCTGACCGGGATCAAGCTAACCGTAGTTCTGCAATTATATTCTCTAATATAGTCTCCACCTCACCCCCATCACCACCCTGAAGGACCATGCTCTCTTGGGCAAATCAACACAGGCTGATATTAAGCAAGTCCAAGTAATGCTAGAACTTGCTGCCTGTCACCATCTTGGTTAACATGTTTGCGGGATTCTCATTTGTGTGCACCTTCATGACAGAAATATCACCTTCCTCTATGACATCCTGCACAAAATGATACCTGACATCAATATGCTTGGTACGAGCATGGTGAACTTGATCCTTAGCCAAATGAATCGCGCTCTGACTATCACACTACAACTTTACGCTATCTAGTTCAATCCCCAAATCATCTAGAAGACTCCACAACCACAATGCTTCCTTCACTCCCTCTGCCATGACCATGTACTCAACATCTATAGTAGAAAGTGTCACTATAGCCTATAACATCGATCACCAACTAACCGGAGCTACATGTATCCTGAATACATAACTAGTAGTAGATCGCCATCTGTCTAGATCGCCCGCATAATCTGAGTCTACAAACCTATTAATCTGATATGTATCACCACCAAAATATAGATCCGTATCAGCGGTACCCTTTAATTACCTCAAGACCCATTTTACCGATTCCCAATGTGCATTTGCCTGATTCATCATGAACCTACTGACAACACTGACCGCCTATGAAATATCCGGACGTGTACACACCATTGCGTACATCCAACTGCCAATTGTACTAGCATAAGGTACACACTCTATGTGTGCATTCTCTTCCGCTATAGTGGGAGAGTGTTTACGTGAAAGCCTAAAATGTGGAGCCAATGGAGTCACCACCGACTTTGCACTTTGCATCCCGAACCTCACGATCACCTGCTCTATGTAGCCCTTCTGACTCAAGATGAACAATCACTGATTCGTCCGCTTTTTTCTTATCTCCATACCCAGTATTTTCCTTGCAGCGCTCATGTCCTTCATCTTGAACTCTTTACTAAGTTGAGATATTAGCCTATCTATTTCCACCTTGCTCCTCGAAGCAATAAGCATGTTATCCACATACAAAAGAAGATAGATATAATCTGTAAAACCCCGATAATTTTTGAATGATATATTAATATGAGATTAATTATGATATATGAATATTTAGTATGATAAATACCATTAAATGATATATGAGCATAATACCATGTGTTTTGAGTATGAACGAGTTCATACATGAGATAAAAGAGTCGAAACATGCACAATGGCCAAACCCTTGAAAAAACTAGCAAATACCACAATGCGGTCTGCCGTCGATGGTCGACCGTAGCGGTCGACAGCGAACTGCAGAGTATTTTGAATATGTTTGAGTGATTTCGGATTTCTAAACCCACATTCGTTTTTTCCTTGATATATATATATATATATATATATATATATTATATTATATATTATATATATATATATATATATATAATGTATAAATATATAATATAATTATATAATATATATATATATATATACTATATATATATATTGGCGTCAAAAAATGCTTGAAAGATATCCAAATACGTGAAGCAGAAGATCATCCAAAAAATCGAAAAGACCACAAGTATAGACTGTCTCGCCGCGAGACAGACTTTGCTGTCTCGCCGCGAGACAAGACTTTGCTGTCTCGCCGCGTGCGAGACAGACTTTGCGTGTCTCGCACGCAAAGCAGTTTTCAAACATTCAGAACCTATTTCATAAACCGCCGACACGTGGCCACCAACTGCTCATAGAACGTGGGGGAAACGTCTGGGCGAGAATCACGTGGATAACTGCCAAAATAACGGAGTTTTGAAACGTGGAAGGTAGTTAAAACGAAAACTGCCTGACGGCTTACTGTTTCCGGACAGCGTTTACGTGTATCGCGGGCCGAGACAGCAAACACTGTCTCGCCCGTCGAGACAGCAAAAGCTGTCTCGCGAACCTGTTTTCTGCCAACTGTTCTTGGAGGTTATAAATACCCTCCTAAGGCCATTTTTCCAGAGGCTGATCATTGTGAGTACTTCAGAGCAATCCAGAGCAATCCAGAGCAGAGAGAGAGCAGAGGTGCTGATCTTACGGCCAATCCTTGATAATCAGGCTTTGACTTGATTTCAAGAAGAACGACTATCTTACATCGATAAGATATCGTTTCAATTTCTCACTTCGATAAACGAAGTCAGAATCATAAACCCCTCACGGTTCAATCAGAATCTGTGATTTGGTGGTCCACGAGTCAAAGCGCTCCCGGCACAGGCAAAGATCCCACGAAAGCAGTGATCCGAACAACGATCCTGCGTTTATTTTCTCAAGAGTTGTAATTTTCTTTTTGTTGTGTAAAAGAGTCTTATAAAAAGGCTGTTTTCTTTGAATTTATTGTAATCGACCGAAGATATAATGAATTCCACAGCAAAACCAACTTTTGACGCAAACAAGCTGGCGACCATAGTGGGAGCCAACGGTCTCGCTGCCGAGACCGTCGTGTCGCAGCCGATCAAGATTCCAGTTGAATCCATGGTCGAATACGAATTCGACCAAACCAAGTTTGAGGAATATCTCTCATTATCCTCTTCAAGATCTTCATTGTCTCGCAAGTACAAGAGGATCTCATAATTGTGGAAGACTTACATGCCAAAGAAGGCACAAAATGAAGACCCTCGCTTGATTGTTGCTGAGGATTTCACTCGCAACACCTCTGCTCACAATGGCTCTTATCTAGTTAAAGAGTCATCGAATCAAAGCCCGCCGACATTGACGAAAAGAGCTCGTCAGAGACAACGCCAACGCCGCGCTTGCCAAATG